GGTTGTTGGCGGGCGCACACAAATGCCCCAACGGGCGCCATGGTGCCCGCGGGCACCGTGTTGGGGACCACTGTGCTAGAGGGATAATAGCACATAGGATGTGGAAAAGCCACTTTGAAACCATGTCGGAGTGCCTTGGGTTGTCCCACGGATTCTATAGCTCCTAAAAAGTCTCCTTTGAGTCTCCCGATAATTATTTATCTAGTACAGCCACTTCAGCATCATCAGAGAAGACACAACTACACTGGGGATAATTGTTTAACTGTTGGGCATAAAATGTAAGTGCGTATTTTATATCCCTATTTCTAACCAGTTAACCATTTAAAGGGGATGGTGGGCTAGAGCAGCTCCCCTGCCACAGTCAGCCTCTACCACGGACAGAGGCTGATCCGGATGGCCGGAGCAGCCCCTGTCCACACCGGGCCCCGTGAGGCTGGAGCAGCCCTCTGCCTGCTCCAGCTCTCATGGATGAACTAGTAAGCATCACCTGCTAAGGGTGACACCAGTTAGCCTTTCACATTCCCAGTTAGAAACTCCTAATGGTTTTGGGATCCTTAACAGGAATAGAATGGAATTGTTTTTCCCCTTAGCTGTTGGGAACTCAAACATAGCAGCCTTTGGCTAGAGCATGAGATTCTAACATTGAAACCGTATATCTAGTGTCACTGCACATGAGGCAAAAAAGGTAAAATAAAAGCGTTTAAGTGTTTTCTGATGTAATGTTTAGGAGACTGCTCTTGCGGCGTTCCAGGAATGCAGAACTCTTCCTCTATGTTCCTAGTGATAGTACCTCTTGGGACAGGTTGACTATTTGCAAAATGAGATTTTTGTATTTAAATTTAGTGCAGAATTGGCCCAGCATATGCATATCTGCATTATTTTGCACCGTGATTATTGTTCAAAATACCACACAGCAAACATGTGAAGTGCTGGAGTTTCAATGTGGTCTATTCAAGACACCTCGGCCTTTACCTTTGCATATTTATAGATGCTAACAGAGCTCTCCATGCTGATGGTCTGGGCACATAGGATCTCACAGTGTCTTTGGAGGCCATCTAGTTGAAACAGGCTGGCAGCTGACAGCAGCTATTGGGACAAAAGAGAAAAGTTTTTCAAAATCAAATTGTAGCGGACTCCTGATTTATGGAAGGCAAATAAAAACAAGACATTCCTTCCTTGAAGAATCTAACTCCTTCGCTGGAGGCCTAGCCCTCCTGTGAGTAGAAAGGCCACTGAAGATGACAACACATTATTCAGAGTATAGCTCTGAATGAAGGCAGAAAGAGGACCTCCTTAAATTCTTAATTTTGTGCACTTCCTAGAAAAGTTAGTCAGAAGGCGAACACTTTATTACTAGCTGCTGAGTTAATTTTTTTGTTTATGGGATTTAGTGAGGAGCCAAGTCATCTCCAGTTCTCTTAAGTTTGCTTAAAATGTGGACAGGAAAGGGGAATCTGTCTCCTGTCAGACATTCCACCAAGTCTCTTCTCCTGGGATATGCAGGATTCATACAGGAAGCTTCTGCCCACATGAGCCAGTCCTCTTAACTTTCATGGTCACAGGGTCAGTGGAAAGGATGATCCAACAAAGCTGCTACTTCTCAGGTTTATCAACTGGGTGCTGGGAAACAATACAGGCTACAAAGAAGATAAACCACCATACTGGGTCTGACCAAAGGTCCTATCTAGCTCAGTATCCTGTCTTCTGACCTTGACCAGTGCCAGGTGCTTCAAAGGAAATGAACAGAACAGGTAATTATCAAGTGATCGAACCCCTCTTGCCAATTACCGACTTCTGGCAAACAAAGGTTAGAGGCACCATCTCTACCTATCCTGGCTAATAGCTACTGAAGAATCTATTGTCCAGGAATTTATCTAGTTCTCTTTTGAACCCTGTTATGGTCTTGGCCTTTACAACATACTCTGGCAGACCACTTCATTGTATGAAGAAATGAGTTGTTTTGTTTTAAATTTGATGCCTATTCGTTTCATTAGGTGACCCCTCCCCTAATGCTTGTGTTAGAAGTAAATACACTTCCTTATGTACTTTCTCTACTCCACTCACGATTGTATAGACCTCTCTCATATCCCTCCCCTTTAGTCATCTTTTTCCCACGCTAACTCTCCTCATATGGAAGCCGTGACATACGCCCCATCACGTCTGTTGCCCATTTCTGCACCTTTTCCATTCCAATGTATCTTTTTTGGAGATGGGGTGTCCAGGCCTGGCCAAAGGCTTTGTGGGGCCCAAAGCAGGACACTGGGAGCGGAACCCCGGGTCTGGCTGGTAGATGGTGAATACTCAGCAGCACAGAGCCCTGAAAGCACGATGCCCAAGGCATTTGCCTTGCTCAGCTTGCCCTAGGAGCAAGGAGTAACCACACCTACATTAGGGATGTGAATGGTTAACTAATTATGGTTACCCAGTGGGCTGTAGCAGCCCCGGACTGCTACCCCATTAACCGGTTAATCATGATTTTACATCCTTAATCTACATGCAGAGCCCCTTTTTATGCATAAGCCATCAGAAACAGTAACTGCTTTGAATTTCAGATGATAAATTTGCTGGGGGACACACATTCATCTTCCACTATTCTGTATTTTCTGCTAAAAGAACAATTCCGTGGATGTGTTCACACACTTTCCTGTCCTGTAGAAACACTGGTAGCTGCCTTCGTCTCTTCCAGAAGTCACTTGTCTAGCACTACTATGCACCTTGAAAACATTCCCTCTTTTCTAAAGTCTTAGCTTCTTTTGGCTTCCATGCCTCCTCATTCCCCAGTGCATTTGACAAAGTGGGAAGAAAACATTCTCACCTCTAGAATATCAGCTGTGGGAATTTCCATTGATTCTGTTCCTCCATAATATAAATATTGCATCAGCATCTGAAATGGGAAAAGAGCCAGGCCTGAAGCAGTTGTCAGTCAGGACACAGGAATCTGAATAACCATGTTGCCTTTCCTAAGCAGCAGAAATTGCAGCTCCGGCTTCCTGTGGGTCTTGATAACAGCTTTGGCATTGGCAGTGGCCCAGATGTATTGCTTTCTAATACTCTTTTCTTTCTCGAGCATTGAAGGGGGAATTTAAGCCAAGGGTGACAATGTGTCTCTGAGCAACAGCAATACCCCTGTAAAAACCCTGCAGGGGTCCTGGGTTTTGTAAAGTTTTGCAGTCTAGCTGCACCCAGGAGCGGTCAGCCAGTGAAATCAATGGCAGAGTGCATCAGCACCACAGATCCTGCGCAGCAGGTGACACCCTGCCCTTCCCTAGAGCTTCCAGTGAGCCTCTCTCCACTGATGTCCATCAGCCAGGGAATGTGGGGCTGGGAAAGAGAGGGGTGGTTTCGCTGAGCCAGGCATGCACAGGCACCCAGGAGGTGCACTGCCCCACCTGCCCCTGTCAAAATTAGGATTGGTAAATAGGGTGATCCCTCATGCCCCTCCCTGTTCTGTACTCCCTCCACTCGCAGGCACCAGTTGCCTATGCAGGCGTGGGCAGTCTTTCCTTTCTGACCCTCCCACGCTCACCTCCCACTGCCAGGGAACTGATTTTTCACTTGAAAACTAAGCTCGGATTTCTTTAATCTCAGTTCAATGCTTTATTAACTAGGCCAAACTATCTTCTCTAACCGTAAAAACGATACCACCTTTTGTAACCTTATGTCCTAAGAATGTGCCCCAAAGTCTTCACACACTCTTGGCCCCCCTTTACGTTATTTGAAGGCCACCTTTGTTGGAATGTGGTTTGCAGAAGTCCCTTTGAGGGTAACTTCTTTTGAAAATAAAAAAATACAATCTATTACGCTGCCCTGAGTGGCGGAATCCTCTCCCTGTTCCCTTTTGGTTCTGACACACTGCAGACACCACAGCCTGCAAGCTTCACCCCTTGAAGCTTCCAGGATTTGCAAACCCCACTGATGAGAGACATTATTCATGCTACGTGAAGGCAACCTGTCTTAATACCTTTAATGCCTATGATTGATGGGAATAGAGTTGAATCAGTTTGGATGCAGACACTGCAGTTGCTTTTCAATTCAAACACAATACATAGGAAACCCTCTAGGGATAGAGCAGCAAAGATGTTTGTGCCCAGAAATACTGTGCGGTGATGACCATGTATAGACATTTGGAGGGAGAAAGCCAAGATGAGCCCTAAACTCTTCAGTGAAGCAGTTACAGACTTTCAGCAGTTCTGCACTTTCAGATTTCCCTATTCTGCACATTTCCTTCCTAATTTGAAATGCAGATCTGGAAAGCTGGAACAATGTCTGACTATTGGATTTCACTGACCTGCTTTTTTTTTTTTTTTTGGTTTTTTTAAAAAAAGCCCTTTTCATCATGAGCAAACCTCCCTTAGGTCACTTAAATATGGAAACATCAACAAAAGTAAAAGTGGAATTCTCAACTTCAAGTCTTTGAAGGAAGCCCCATACTTCTGCTCGTCTGATTTGAATTAATGTGAAGCCTGGCAGCTCTCCGGCTCTAACCAGGCTTATTTTTTTGCTTAACACAGCATGAAAATTGTGCCTGGGAACTTTCAGAACTACAAAAAACTACTCAATAAAAAGACCTCATTTGTCCTCCTTTATGAAGGAGATCAGCTGCATTCAAAAAAAAATCCAATAGTATTCTTTTCAGAACTAAGCCCAAGTTGACAAGTTTGGATGCAGATCAGAACGCATCAAAAATACAGAGAGGTTTGAATACTTGTAGCCTTCACTTCATAATAAGTACAGGAGGAGACAAACAGTGGTAACTAGATGGGTGTGCATACCTTGAAAATATTGTATTTCATATCACTGATTTCAACAGTTTTACTGCCTGGGCTGTCTAATTCTGTTTTATTAGTCATCAGGGTCTTAAATCTGAAAAAAAAATGGAGATAAGTTTGCTTAATAGATATCTGCATTTTTGCCACTCTGTATCATGTTTGCTTGAATGACTCGCCAGTAAGCAAAAGGGAAATGGAGAATAGGGATCCTGGTCTACTGGCATTTATATTTTCCAAACAATAAATGTTTGTCATCGTCAAACAGCAATAAACTGGACAGCTCACTCTGCAGACTCCCCAGGCCTGGATGTACCTCCCTGTTACTCCAGTATTAAGGTGCTTTAATTCCACTGAAACAAGTGATGTTAGGTCCACATGAAACTGGAGTGACAGAGCTACATCAGATCCCTAGAATTGTACACTGCCTTAATATTAGTTTTAAAAGCAAATAATTGATCCTGAAATAGAATCAACTAGACAAAATACATAGTGCTAAGGGGCTGGATTCTTTACCTCTGTTGCTCCTATTTGATCCTAGGGTACAAGAGGGGACAGAAACTGGCCTTAACTCATTTGCTGAGAAATTCCCTAGGGTGAGGCAGTGCCTAGTAAGTACAGAGTTATTGCATCTGGCTCCTACACTGTCCTTCCCTCAGCCTCAAATGCAGTGGGGGTGGTTTCAGAGACAACTGGGAAGGAAATGTCCAGAGCAAGCTTGCTCCAGCTATGCTCAGCCGAGGACAGATCCTTAGCAATTTGTTAACCGCTACTGCATGTCAGAACAGTCCCCTTGTTCCTACCTGCATTGGGACTGGGCCCACACTTCAATGCTCTGAGCATAAACAAAGAATCTGGCTCTAAAACATTTGTGGATTGATGATGTAAGCCTTTACTAATGCTAGAAGCCTCATTGAAACTACTGGTGATTAAGAGCTACTCATGTGAGTAAGGGCTTACAGGGTCCCATCCTCCATTCCTAACCTATAGTTAGCTGAATAACTCAGTGGCAACTAGTGAGGATTTGGTTTATGGAGGCTGACTCACCTGTTGGAAGCAGTAACCAGCAGGACTTTGTGTGCATAAAACATCTTTCCTTCCACTAGAAAAGTTACATCAGACATTTCTTTATTGTTTAGAAAGTGAGGATCTGTTAGAAAAAGAGGGGAGGGGAAGGTGTTTATAACTCTGCAGCATGCCAAAGAAAAAAAGCAAAACCACTGTGGAAATAATTCTCACTAAGATAAAACTGAGTTTCTCACCAAGCCGGGCTGGCAATGTCTTGTGGATTTCAGGAATGTTTGGTATAGGACTGCTGCCGTAGCAGTGGGTAAAGATGGCTGCAAGCTGCTGGTTAACAGACTCATTCTGTAAGATAGAAGGAATTTATATAATTATTACTTAATCCATTAGTTCCACAGCCTGTAATAGTGTGCTTGCTGCTTGTATAATAAGAATCTTCCTCTACTGCTTTTACTGATTTTAAGGACCACTCTGTCTATAAGGATCACCTCTGCGCACGGAGGAGCCAGCTTAAGACTTACGCACATGGGTGATTTCACCATTAACATTCTCAGCAAGATTATTGCATGCATCTGCCAAGGGAAAAATAATTTAAGAAAGTTCCCTTGACTTCTTCACAACAAAGTCCACAGCGTGATTTATCTGGCAACACTGTTCCTGGTGGATTGGTTTATTGTTTGGCACTGCACTATTTTAAAGTTCGAAGTTAGCATTTGTTTTTAACCATCCAGTGCCTCTCCCTGCTATCTCTAGGGAGAATCTATAGTGATATAGGATGTGATCTTACTACTGCTGAAATCATGAACTTCAATGGATGCAAGGTCAGGCCAACTTTTAAAAGAAAGATAAACTGCTAATAAATAAAATAGCTACTTTACCTCCCAGAAAATTCCAGGAAGGTAGATGAGATGTTACTGAAAGCCTGAGTTCCCCAGTACTTTGGAGGTAATCCCTTCCAGTATTGCAAATGCACTCAATTCAAAAAGCCTATAGCTAATGGGGTTTATACATGGATTCCCCTTTCCATTAAAATGAACATCTTTGACATGAAGCCAATATTAGACCCCTCCTATAGCGCAGTATTACATGAGCTTGGGTAAACATAGCCATGGCAGTCTGTATACCCATAATTCATGGGAGGCCTGATGTTGGTTTACATTGCTACTGTACTCCAAATAATTGTGAAACTCTTGCTCAAAAGATTTGAACTTCATATTGTTAAAAAAAAAGAATGATTACTTTGCTGGTTTTGAGGATATCAAACATTAGCTGTAGCCCTTCGTTAACCAGTTCTTCGTTATAGTCATCCTCCTTAATAGTGACAAACTCCCTTAAGAGGTTCTGCACGACAGAAAAGCGTGACTGGTAGAAGGTTGTCCGTAATGACTCAATCCACATGTGAAGCTTCCATGGGATTCCTGTAACCAGACACAAGGGAAAGTGAGGGAGCGGGATACAATTGCGGAACTAGCAGGCAAGAAGGAGTTTTCTCTCTTATTGAAATCAGCAGCAATAGCACTTTTTATTTTGAAAGAGCTTTATACCCAACTAATGTGCCCTGCCAGCACACCTGGGAAGCAGCTATACGTCTATCCCTATTTTAAAGGTGAATCACAAGAAAGAGTTAAGTGACTTACCCACAGCCACTGAGAAAATGAGTGCCAGGACTCAGGCATTCCTTTTTAACTGTAATTTCATGCATTGCTTTTCTCTGAAAGCATAGCAGCAATCTAAACTTGAACTAAATTCTGCAGATCAGCTGCACCATTACACCATAGGTAATAGCCACTCTTCTATAAATCCGTTATGATTTGCTATAGTGTAGTATTATGGGCCACTTGCTCGGGTGAGCTATTGTAGTTCCAAGTGCACAATTCAAAATCTTCAGTCTGGTACTTTCCAGGTACAATCTTGGGCCCTCAGCCTAATTCCTGGGCATTGGCTGCCTCTGGTTTAGATAGCTCAACTTGAGACCCTGCCTTTTCAGAAGTTCTGAGCACTCACAACTCCAACTGACTTCAAACAGAGTGGAGGGAAGGGCTCAGCTGTTCTGGTCCTCAGGTCTCGCCCAGCCTGTTCCAGCTGGGCAGCTGGAAAACTGGGACATCCTAAATCACTGAGCCATTTTGAACAGGCAGCTGAGTGATCAGTAAGCAGTTTGATGTCATTTTCTATTTAAAGTGGAGACTCTCCTAAGCACCCATCGGTTGGGTTGGGTTGGAACTTTATGGTGTAGGCCCTTCTCCTAGTGACCTATAATTCCTGCACTTGCAAATACAATTTATTCGAGTTCTGGTTATTTTGCACCTACTGATAAAGAACCTGCCTTACCAAGTACCCTGAGCTCCATGGTGATGTCAACATAGCCATGCTCAGCACTGTAGTACATGGCTTCCTGAAGGGCCTTCATCCTGGTTTTACACAGCCTGACCTGGCCCTCGCTGGAGCTGTCCTGGCTGCAGGTGTCACTCTCCACTCCCTCAGCTAAAATCTCCTCCAGTGACAGAACATCCCCCTTCGACTGCTGGGGCTGAGTGAGGAGCTTGCGTAGCACGTTTCTGCAGAGGTAAAAGAAGGAATTGCTCTTTAATTATTGACAGGCCAGGCAAGCTGATTTTGGCCCAGAAATCCTGGAAGCTGGATTTAGTGACTCATTTCTTTCCACAGATGAACTCTTCCTCCTCCCTTCTGAGATGGATTTTGGTTCCTCCACTGCAAATGGTTCTCAAATTTTTTGACTCTCAGCCCACCCTGTTCAATACAGACCTTTCCACAGATCACCAGACAACCACCCATGATAACAAAATGGGTGTAAGGAGGAGGTGGGAGTATGGGGTCTGGCCAGACTGGGTGCGGGGGAGTATTGGGGGGGGAGGGAGGGAAGGAACGGACGGACGGACATGATGAGGTTTCAGAGTCTGGGCAGGAGGAGGATGGGTTAGGCACTTACCTGGCTCCATGCCTCCTGCCATTCCCAGGCACCACCCCCAGTGGCTCCCACTGGCTGTGATTCTGGCCAATGGAAGCAACAGGGAAAGCTCCCAGGCTAGCAGTCTCCTGCACTGTTGTTGCCTCAGCCAGGGAAAAGACCGCAGCGCATGGAGCCACTTCCTTCCCTCGTGAGCCAGATCCAGTCTGCAAGGCTCCCCTCCTTCCCCCAGCAGGAAGCCTGTGCCAGTGCTCCAATCATGTGGGACTGGAGTGCCAGTGCAGGCTGGCTCCCTGCTGCAGAGAAGTGGAGGTGAGCCCTGAGCCCATGGACCACACTTTGAGAACCACTACTCTACTGCTTTAAACATTAGATCAGCAGTTTAGTCAGGAGGGTTTCTCGGTCAGCAAACCTAAGTTATGAAAAGCAAAAGCTTTTCAGCATCTAATCCCAGGCGCATTTGGTGTGTGTGGCTAGCAGACCAGCAATCACCAGCAACTTCTTGCTTCTGTCCAACACCTTTTCAAATGCTTAAGTCTTTAGTTTTCCTACAGATGTGAGAAGCCATAAGGGACAGATGTTGGCTCTCCAAGACAATCAGACCAACATAAGATGATGATGTGCTGAACTACCACTAGCTGGTGCTCTCACTGCATAAAGAACTGGATTTTACCCTTCCTGCATGAATTCATACTACATAATCTCTTGCTTTCTGATCCCCCTTCTGCACAAATAAGCCGGAAGTAGGAGGCGTAACTTCATTATTCATACAGTAAGGACCCATTATAGAAAGAGGACTTGTGCTGTGGCACAACGAATCCACCAGATGCTTTATCATAAGATATTGCACAATCAAGGTTGTAACCCTGAAAAGATAAGGTGCAACAGTCAAGATTGATAGTTTTTTAAAAAAAGGCCATTTTACACTTCAAGTTCTTGAGTCATGTCAAGTAGCATTAGGAAAAACATGCCTAGGGAGCCAAGCCTTAATGCAGACATGCTGCACCAATATAAAGAGGGGCTTATGTTGTTGTGATTCAGTTTGGTAACTTAATAGCATGTGCTGCATTGATAGAAGCCTAGTAGCATGCTGCTGCAGCATACCAACATTTAGGGTTTGGAACTGGTAACTATATCGATGTGGTTACACTAGTGCTAATGTCTCTGATGAAGACTGGGCTAGAATGATTTCCGGATCAGTTTACAGATAATAAAATGTTATTTGTAAATGTAGGCTGGGATGCAAGATCCATGCTCGCTTTTCTCTGATTCTCACATCATCTGCACTGAAGTTTCTCCACACCTAATTCTGCTCCTATTTCACCTCTACAACATCATTGCCATTAAATTCTGCCTTCAGTTATACACATGCAACATACATCTTGGGAATTTTGCCCTGTAGTTGGAATTTAATAATTGTGTTGTTGCTGCCTGCCCTAGAACCAAATCCAGCTCTCTCTCACCTAGCTCTGGTTTCGCTGTAGTGCTAACAGGTGTGAAAAAAGCAGGAGAAACTTATTTGCTGACTTCAGTGACTAAGATACAGATCTGCAAATCCAGAGTGATTGCATCTGTTGAATAAGGTCACAATTTTACACAGTTATTTTGAGAATAGCACCATTCAAAGTGATAATTACTTTCTAGTGCATCACTTCAAAAGTAAATGCAGGGTCTGGCCACACTAGAATCAGAATGATTCTACTGCATGAAAACATGGCTATTGCTAGGAGGGTTCTAGCAGTACTTCCCAGACCAGTGTGGATAAGGATTTTTGGTCTGGGAACTGCGAAGTAAAATTGTGCTACCGCCTGTATGCATTGGGGAGGAAGCTTATAAAATTGTTCTCAGGCAAGGGACCTCAGTAAACTCATACAACAATTGCACATGAATCCTCACAGTGAGATGCTCTTCAATTTAAAGTTGATCTGGGACAGAGGTTTACCTGTGCCCATGCGCTGCTGAGTGACTAAAGCAATTCATGTCTTCGTGAAGCGATGACGACATCCCATTGAGTTCCAGCATACTCAGGAGAGGGTCTGCGCCCCTGCTCAGTAACAAACTGACCAGCTCATAATTCCCTACGAGAAAAAATAGCAGAAAAGTAACGATAATTGCATTTCCCAGCATCTTTTAAAATAATATACTTGCTGTGCTAGTATTGGCACTTCTATAGCACCTCATTAATCAGGCCTCATAACACCCCGGAGAGGGAGGCAAATATTATTAGCGCCATTTTGCAGACTGAGGTACAAAGAGGCTAAGTTGCCCAGTGCCACACAACTAATTAGAGGCAGCACTCAGAAGAGAACCAATGAGTTCTGGCACCCACTCCTGTGTTCTATCTGAAGCACAGGCATCTCTTTATCTGTATTTTTTTAAGGTTCAATTTTCTCTCTTGTTTTTCCAACACTTGGAAGTCAAACTACACTGTAGTTGCAGATGTAGATGTATCTGGCTTCAATATGGCCAGATTCTCAGTTCTTATCTCCTGTTAGGTGTAGCTAAAAGGGAGGGCCTAATGGGAACCTGGCAGCTATTCAAGTTGGCTATGGCCCCCCAAGGGGTCATCCTGCAGCCATGGATAGCTGCATTCCAGCCACTATCCGCCCCACTGCCTGAAACTGCAGGGAGTGGTGCTGGGAGCGGCAACTCTTTGGGGATTACCTTTGGCTCCCTTTAGGCCACTGGGATGGTTGTTAAAAAAAAATCCCCAACAAAACAAGCCAGAGAATCCATCTCATAATAATCAGGCTTCAAACAATAGAGGAAGAAGATAGGAGAACCAAAATGGAAGGCTGCAGGTGATGGAGAAGAATGATGATCTTTGGGCTGGCCCAGGCTAGGCCTTATATGCCATGTAAACCCCTGCCGTGGCACCTGCTTGGAGAACAGGCCCAAGGTTTTGTTTCTTTTTTAACTTTCCCAGCACAGCCCCATGCATGCTCCAAGAGGGAAAGCAGCTGCACTCCCACTCAGCACTTGGCTTCCCTGCTGAGGCTATTGGCAGGAAGAGATATTCTGTGGCAATGGTAAAGTGGACTGAGCTGCACATTTCAGGTTGGTCAGCAAACATGGTAATAGATCTCAGATACTGCCAACCTGGGCTAGACTTCCACTAGTGATTCCCATGAAAAAGGTGCCTATAAAGGATGCCAGGATCTAACCTGCTAGTCCCCCCCCACACAGCAGATTGACATTTTCATTGCACTGTAACCCTATCAGTTGTCTTAAGTGCAATCCAAAGTAAATCTCAACTTGAGTAAAACCTGAGCATCTGAGCCACGTCTGTGCTTCTGCCAGAGTATCCCTGTGATCTTTGGAATGAGAATGGATGTGTCCTATTGACTCACCTGCTGCTGAAGCCAGCTGAAGTGGGGTTTCAGCATAGTTGTCCTCACCGCTGTTAGCAGCAGACCCCTCAACATGGGCACCAGCATCCAAGAGCAGCTGTAGAACGCCAATCAAAGACAAGTAGTTCAGAGCAATTCAGATAGAGAACACAGAAGCTCCTCTGGGTTGGGAGCAGGATGCTAAAATGAGGTCAATTTACTAATCGAGTAGTTGATAAAAATTCTATTGACTACTTGATTTGTCGATTGAGCTGGGCTGCCTTCCCCTGTCCCAGCTCATGCTGGGGACCAGGACCAAACCCCGCTGTGGCTCTGCACTTTAAAAGGCTCCCACTGCCTTTAAATTGCAGAGCCACAGTGGAGTTTGGTCCTGAACTCAGCATTAGCAGAGGGGATCCCCTGTCCCCTCCCACGTCGCAGCCTCTGATAGAGGCAGCAATGCAGGAGGGGGGACAGGCGGCACCGCAGAACTGGTGCTGGGGCAGGATCTGGCTTTTAAGCCAGAACTCCCAAGCACTGGCTCCTGTTCCCCCTCCCCTTGCTTCCTCTGATACAGAGGCAGCGGGGAGAGGGAGGGCAAATGTGAGTACTCGACTTGACTACTAGTTGACTTGACTAGTCAACTACTTGCTTACATCCCTAGTTACAACCCATTAGGTCGGTAACAATGGGTAAAAAGCACAAAGGAAAAAAATATCTATTCCCAGGCAAATTCACTTCTCATCTGGAAAAACTTAAACAGTCTAGCAGCACTTTAAAAACTAACAAAACATGAAGATGGTATCATGCGCTTTCATGGGCACAGCCCACTTCACTTCTCATCTGTTTGTTGCTTGAGTTGGACTGAAGCCTGAGAACTCACAGTAGCTAACCTCCATGTAGGGATTTATTTATTCTTTTTACTTCACTGAACTATTTTTTGTTCTAGTCTGGTTAGTTCCAGTGAAGGGTACCAGGAGATTAGAGCCTCCTATTCTATTGTATCCCAGTGGGCATATTTTCTTCTGATCTCTAGACTCAAAGGGGTGAGGATGCGTCTGCACAGTGGGAAGGCCCTGCCATTTGGTTACATGCTGTGTAGGAAGCAAACCAGACTGACTAAGGGAATTTGCCACAAAAGGCCAAACTGCTCTCCCAGAACCTCAGTCCCTGCAGATTCTGGGTGAGGAGATTCCTCTGGCTTCCCTCACTTGCTACCTGGAAAGCCTAATCCTCATTCAGGACACACAACTGTGTCTTAATTTTGGCCAGGGAGTTCACCAGCCCCCGCTCTAGGGGAATTCTTTGCAGAAACACTGGCACTAAGCCAGCTGTAACTGGCCATGAGGAGAGGGGACAATACCCTTTTCAAACATTTTCAGTAGCAAAAAGTATCGGTCCAAGGCACATTGACACCATCATGGGGAGTAGGTCAGCTGGCAGGAAATGGAAGTTACTTAGCTGTTCTTCGAGATGTGTGGGCCCTTTCTGTATTTGACACCTGGTACACATGCTTGCCAGACACCCAAGCGTGGAAACTCTAGCAGACAGGGCCTGTTGGCCCATGCATGCACAGTTCACCCTAGGTTCTAGTCTGAGGGCATATAAGAGACAGTGCAGGCACATGCCACTCCAGTTCCTCATCCTCCTTTCCTGCAAATCTAATAAGATCCAAAATAGCAGAGATGGAGCACAGCTAGGGACCGCACAGCTCAAAGAATTTCCAGTACATTGCCAGTGAGTAACCTCCATTTATTTTTTGAGGGCTGGTGCCTATGGCTACGTCTACACTGGCCCCTCTTCCGGAAGGGGCATGTAAATTTCACGAGTCGTCGTAGGGAAATCCGCGGGGGATTTAAATATCCCCCGTGGCATTTAAATAAAAATGTCCGCCGCTTTTTTCCGGCTTTTAAAAAAGCCGGAAAAGAGCGTCTAGACTGGCCCCGATCCTCTGGAAAAAGTGCCCTTTGAAGTAGGAATAAGACCCTCCGGAAAAGGGCACTTTTTCCGGAGGATCGGGGCCAGTGTAGATGCTCTTTTTC